TTTCCTTCTAATAAACAAACATGTATTCATTTATAATTTAAAATCATGTCATTTATTTCTTTTAATAGATAAAAAATACACTACAGTACATTCACTTTCGAGCTCGTGTTATCGTGTCATGGACAATAAACAATAAATTATTTTCTTTACGATTCAGCTGTCAGATCTGAATCCTAATTATTTATTACCTATTACATAAACGAAACGTTGTAAAGTGAGAATTTCTGTTTAATCAACTCGGATATTTACGGCCATCTGGAATTTTAATTATTTTTCGGTGTACTAATTATTATTCATTGGGTTTAGTTTAAAGCGTTTTAATGGCTGGTTTTTAGATACCAACTTTTACGATTATCCTGATTTTTTTTAAACACGGGATGTTTTATTGATTATAACAAAACAAAAAGATAGATACTATGAATAGTATGCAATTCTACATATACCGGGTGGTGAATCGTCAAACGGGCCATAGGAAACTCAATGAGAAATTTTAAATTGTTGTATTGCTGCTTCCCTAATTATTTTAGATCAAAAGTCATAAAAAACTATTTGTAGATGACTAAATTCTGAATTAAAAACAAATGTTAAAACCGTTCTACGAATCAAATGTAATTCAAAATTTTGCAAAAATATAATAGATTTTTGAGACCACCCCTAAAAGTTAGGCCACACGTAATACAAGAATATATTATAACGTGTGTGTTTTATCATATTGATGTCAGATATTTGACAATTTGAATTGTCAATTTTTTTTATTTTATGATTAAATTATAAACAATGAATTTTACTAAATACTACTACTACTGAACAATATTACTTTGTAAACAATAAATTATATTGTTTACAAATCGATCATATGAATGATAATGAAATGTACTCAGTTGACGAAAAATCGCATAATGTTGTATTTAGGCAATAGCGCGAACCCTTTCCTGTCACTACCGGATCTTTATTTAACGTAAGATATAATACAATAATAGTACATTGTTTACCGGGTAGGAAAAGCTTAACATTCCTGGACGACTGTGAAGATTGCTAAGTCGAGGCGCAAGCCGAGACTTAGCAACACAGAGTCCATGAATGTGGCTTTTCCTACGAGGTAAACATACTATTTTTCCGCAAATCGTTTAAAATTCGACAGATATTGATTGATTTAAAAAAAAACGCGATAATTTTATTCCCAAATAAATGGTGCTTTGAAATTCCTAATAAAATTACTTGGGTTACTATGGAAACGTATTGAGGTTGAATTGTCAAACTTGACGCTTATAAATTTAATTGCTGGTGTTCTCGAAAGTAAAATGATAAGTAATGATGAAATTTCCATTCCTGGGACTCCTCCAGAGTCGGTTGAGGCAGTGAATACTGCTTCATTAGAATTATTGCCAAAGAAATCAAGAGAAAAGTACGAAAATGCATACAGACGTTTTATGGATTATCGCATAAGTAAAAATACGAGTTCTTTCTCAGAAAATGTTGTAATGGCATACTTCCTAGACCTTTGTTTAAAGATGAAATCTTCAACATTATGGGCCAATTATTCAATGCTGAAGTCAACCCTTGCACTTAAACACAATGTAGATATATCTACATACTCAAAACTTCGTTCTTTATTGAAACGGCAAGCTCAAGGTTATAGGGCAAAGAAATCTAAGATTTTAACGAAGGAAGAAATTGAAAAATTTATCCAGGAAGCTCCAGATAAAGAAAATTTAATGATTAAGGTAATTTACAAGGTTTTAATTTCTATTTAGATTATAGCTTTATTTATTTTTTAGGTGGCTGTAATATTTGGTATTTCTGGGGCCTGTAGAATGGATGAGTTAGTCCGAATGACTGTACACGATATAGAAGACTTAGAATCTAAGCTTTTAATCAGCATACCTGATTCGAAAACCAACAAACCAAGATCATTTGTAATTAATCAGATCTACTTGAATGTTTATCGAAAGTATGTTTCGTTAAGACCATAAAATATGAACAGTGACCGATTTTTCTTTAAATATCATAGCGGAAAGTGTTGTAGACAAGTGGTAGGAATTCATCAATTTAGAAAAATGCCCAAAATAATTCCTACTTATTTGAACTTGGTAAATCCGACAGAATATACTGGTCACTGCTTTCGTCGGTCTTCTGCAACGATATTGGTTGACTCTGGCGCCGACATAACTAGTTTAAAGAGGCATGGCGGATGGAAGTCATCAAACGTTGCTGAAGGATATATCGAAGAATCGCTTAACAATAAGGTTGAGGTGGCAAATAAAATTTTCACAGTACAAAATATTCAACAAAATGACACTTCCACCCTGCATGTTGTCCAAAATGTTTCTCAGAGTTCTAAGAGTGTTCCTCCAATGTTCAATAATTGTACTAACTGTCAAATTACTGTAAATATAACAAATTGATCTTAAAAATGTATTCAGCAATGACTTGATGTTTTCAAAATATAAATTAATTCCTTATAAGCAATGTGTTTTCTATCATTTATGTATAACACTAACAACTGTACGGAAATATCATTTCCTTACAGTAAGGAAATGACATTTCCTTACAGTAAGGAAGTCCTGACTTTTTCTTCAAGAAATTTTGAGAGGAATGTCAAAATTTCCTGGCGATTTGCGGAAAAAACTGTTACTGTGATATTTATTCCTAATAATAATATATGATAATTTCTAAACATAAAACTATATCAAATGTTATAATAAAACATGAATAAAACATATTTATTATTGCTCTTTTCTCCGTAACTGAGTACCTTTTTTAATCAACTTAATTTTTCTTTTAAATAATAAATCACAAAGTTTTGGCCATTTAAATCTTAGATAAATATAATATAGTTGATTTAAATTTTGTCAAATATTAGAAACGTCAATATGACAAAACGCAACAGGTAATACACATTCTTTTCACGGCGTCTGGCCTGACTTTTAGGGGTGGCCTGAAAAAATATTTTAGCAAAATTTTGGAATACGTTTAAGTCGTAGAACAATTTTAACAATTGTTTTCAATACATATTTGAGTCCTCTACAAATAGTTTCCCATGACTTTTGGTGTAAAATAATTAGGGAAGCAGGAATTCAACAATTTAGAATTTCTCATTGAGTTTCCTATGGCCCGTTTGATATATATATATATATATATATATATATATATATATATATATATATATTATATATATATATATATATATATATATTATATATATATATATATATATATATATATATATATATATATATTATATATATATATATATATATATATATATATATATATATATATATATATTATTGTGATATTCTAAATCTTAGTGCGCCAAGCAATTAATTAGCTAATTAATTAAATAATTAATTAAAATTATCTAAATGATATGATTATGATTCTATCACACTTTTTAATTCTCTTATCTCAGGGTTATATTCGTGTTTCAATATCTATGCTTTACATGTGAAAGGTAAGGTCCAAAGAATACCGGAAGAATAAAAAACACCTATGATATAACATTATATATTGAAATAAAAATAATGAAATAAAATTCACACTCAAATGTTTTCAATAAACAATATCTCATGTAATGATTCTCAAAATTTTGTTCTACGTACGTGAACCTTCAAAATTAATGGTACAAACAATATTAGTTAAAATCTCAAAACCCCAATTATTATTCTAAATCTCCTAATCAAAATATTTATATCTTTTCTAAAGTAATTGTAAAAAATTGTGTTATCAATAAAAGAAAAACTGCAGAAAAACAAAACTATCTCTCTCTGATGATGAGTGGTCCAAATCCTTGTTCCTTGTAGCCTATACTATCTATTCTTAGCAGATCCCTAGGTAATCGGCAATCTTACAACAAATTGTTGCAAGTTTATCGTTCTTAATGATCTCCTTCAAATGCACGAATCGTTCAAATTATGCTAGCCTCTTCTCCTCTCGATAAACTGCCACTAACTACAAGAAAACTCACAAACTTTCACTGCTACTGCTTCCTACCTCTGGGAAACTACCCGAGAACAACCGCCGTTCGCCTTGCACCCTTGGAAACCAACTGACTATCTTTTTTTCCTCAAAAACTAACTAAAGTCTCATTCTCAAACCAACCATCCCACCTTTTTCAATCTCATCCAATCAAAACGCGTCATACCTCTCCCATTTATTCATTTCGATAACACAAACAAATTTTTACCTACAATTATAAAATTTCCGAACGTTATTTAAAAACTAATCTTTTTCTACCAATTCTTAAGAACTAACAAAAACATATCTTCCTAAAAACTATTGTATTGTCCTAATTACTGTATAGATTCATTTGGAAAACCCGCTTCCATTCTCTAGGATTTCACTTTAGCTTATTTACGTCACACAAATATATTTTAACAAAGAAAATAATTTATTCATATCTTACGTTTTGTTCAATATAGGTAATCCAAAGACAAAAGACTTTCATTCTTCGAAATGTTTGTTGTTTTTATTCGATTTATCTGAATTATTTTAATTTTTTTAGAACTTTGAAATATTTTAAGCAAACCAATATTTTTCTTGATATTACATATCATAACAATCTATAACAAAATGATGGCGAAAAAGAGCGTATCAACAATGAATATAGACGTTCATTTAAAATTACTAAAGAAACGTGCTCTGTCTTTCACTTAAATGTAAAAAGTATTATTAATAATTAAGAATTCTAAACAATTGTATAAATTAGCAAAATCCATCTTTCTGGAAAACTATTTTATACCTAACTGAATTGTTTTTGTTTATATTTTTATATTTCTAATTTTCACTGTATAAGTTATATTATATGTTCTTGTATTATTTCTTAGTTATTTCCTATGTAGACATAAGTGACTTATTTATATCGTGACATGACATGTAGTGTACTATGTAAAAATTGTCAATAAACGTATCTATCTATCTATCTATCTATATATTCGTTGATGTTAATCAATTTTGAAGAAATTAACGCGACGATTTATTTATTGTTATTTTATTTTCAGGTCGTCTGGTAATTTCGGGAGCGCGGGGGCTCGTTCCGCTCCAAGTACACCTCAGGAACAGCAAGTACTATGCAATCCATCTGGCACTACACTCTCTCCCGATCTACTTCCCAGCCCCTCAAGCCCTGGCTGTACCACAATAATCAGTCAGACTAGTCCAAGTCATGCACTATTTTCCAAGTGCGACAAGTAAGTAATTTTAATAAATAATTGAAAATTATGAATATCGAATAAACTAAAATATGTTCTTTCATTAAAATATTGATAATTTCATTTAATAACGCTTCCATATAATTGGAAATTATAAATATCAAATAGCAGAGAATATCTGGCAAGCAAATATTTCCTAAACCAACATTATCGTGGCACTTATAATGCAAAAATAATTAAATTTCATTAAAAAAACTTTCCACCACTTGCCAGAGCAATTATAACTTGCAACGAACTTAAGTTAATAAATTCCCCTTATAATCTTATCTGGGAATTGTTGGATACACCACATCTAACAAGTGTTCTAGCTACAAATATTTTTATTCCTAAATACCAAAACGAATTTTTTTACACTGCTTAAAAAAAAATCTAAAGTGCTATTCAGATCATATTGTGATCTATACAGACGGGTCAAAATCACCAACATGTACAACCAGTGCTTTTGTATCAAAAATGAAGATTAAAAAATCCATTCAATAAGTCGATCACATCCATCGACGAACGACATGCTTAAGGGACCCATAAAAGTCGGCATACGGTAACGAATGCGGTCTAAAAGGAGGTTAAGGAGCAGATCCGAAAGGTCAATGCCTACACGGTTAGTTACCGTGTCGCCAAATTGCGTGTTCCTGGCGCTAAAGTCTCCAAGTATGATAGCCTTGTTCAGGCTGGAGACATAACCAAGCAATGCTTCGTGACATAACCAAGCAATGTAGTCTTGGTTAGATTCATAGTATTCGCCCCCTAGGTCATGACCGGTAATACTCATTGGTCAAATATCTTTCTTTTTAGGCTAATTTATATGTAGCCCCAAGTGTATCTCGCATTTTTCCAAAGGCTGCCCACGCTAAAGTAATTTGTCTTTGGATTTCGCATGTTTGGTTATTTCTGCTGACTCTTATTTCATGACCCAAATACTTATATTTCTTCACCAGTTCTACACCACTTTATCTTGAATAGTTAAATGGTTATTGAGGACCATATTTGTCATAAACTTAGTTTTGGTCAAGATTCTGAGGCCCACCTTCGAACATGCAAACTCCCATTCATTTAACAAATCTGTGACTTCTCCTAAATTATCTGTGATAAGGACAATTCCATCTGCGAAACGGAGATGGTTAAGCTATTTGCCATCGGTCTATTGTTACTCCTCTGTCGTCCCAATTGACTATCTTAAAGACATACTCTTATGCCGTTATGAATAATTTCGGTGACAATGTATCTCCTTGCCTTATCCCACGTTTTATTTGTATTGGTTTGGTTTTATCGTGCATCTTGACTCTCTCTTCAATCCTGACCCCCCAGGGGGAGTGTAGTGGTCGACGTGATGTCGTGTATTGTCCGTCTCCAGAGATCTCTGTCTCTGGTCATTTCTTTTAATTCATGCATAGGTCTTTGGCATATTCCTGTAATTTGATCTATCCATTTTGTTGGGGATCTTCCTCGTGATCTTCGGCCTTCTACCTTTTCTTGTATTATGAGTCTTTCCATGTTTTCTGTGTTTGCTCTCATAACATACCCAAAATATTTTAATTGTTAGAGATGGACTTTACTAGAGAGTCGTTGGCTAACTTTTAGCTCTCTTACTTGACAGTCATAGTGGAATTTTTGTGCATGCCACTATACTACAATGCCACTATGTTTAGGCCAAACATCATAAAAATAATGTAACGACCTATTTCTCCCACAGATCTTTCACAATCTATATGAATTGTGTATCATTACCTTCTTATGTAGTTCGTTTTCTACTCAAAAAGACTGCCTTTTTAATTATCTATAAACATCACTATTTTATGGATGATTTCAGGTTGTATTATGTACAAATTTTATAGTTCAGCGATGCATGAATAGAAAGGAACAGTTATTTCACATTTTTTTTTAATAGAACAACTTGGCTATTGACCTTTATTGGCAATTTTATACAATTATATAAAGAGAATAGTAAGCAGATACCGGGTTTATTTTATATTGCATATTGAATTACGGACAACACAAAAACTTCTACTAAAAGAGTAATGTCATTGCAATAAAATGATAATAGTTAAATAATGGAAAAAATATATTTTGATATTCAAAAAAGCTTCAAACGAATTGCAATTTTGCAATATTTAGAATATTTAGAATATTTTTTACCATTACATCGGATGATAACTTAGTACCTAATGTAACTGGTAAAATATCACAATCAGTCTTTGTGAAAGTGGAGAAATACTGATTTTTTATATTTAAAACACATTTAAATACTGACAATAATAATTGCTCTCCAAGGAAAAAAGCACAAACACACACAAAACAAAAATTTTTCTGGTCCCGCCCGAATTCTGTATGCTCGGACACTCAGTCGCCAAATTGGAAAAATAATTTTTGTTCTCCTCGTTGGCTGAGCGCCCGAAGGGTCCTGCCGGCGAGCCCACGTTTGTCGGTACGTGATCTTGATGCCCAGGTTCCGCGAGCTTGGTACTTTTGACCTACATGAATTATATTAGATGCCTGAAGCTTTTTACCCGAACGGCTTTTCTGTCTGTTGCTAATCAATATTCACTCTACTTTTTTGTGTATTGTATTGGCGCTGCATGTAACAGACGGTTATTAGTACAGGGTTAAGAGAAAATAATATTCGAGAGCAAGTAATAATGGGTGAAGTGTGCATAAGAATAGGTATTTTTGGGTCTTCTGTTGCTGCGTATATTTGACAACTGCATGGTTATCATTTCTTCACTGTTCTTCTGAGTCTTCTCTATATCCAGCTAGCTGCTGTCTGGGCCGCCCTGTCCTCTGACTTTCGTCATAGTCTGTCAACTGTCTTATTAGTCTACTCGGATGGTTCCTGAGATCGTTTCCTGAGAAAGTCACCTGCGTTTTTTCGTTCATTGTTCTCAAGATTTTTTTTGTTCTCAGTCCCTAAATATGTACCTTAACGGAACATACTTAGATATATTCAGATCATATGGTTCTGAACTATGTATTTGTATTTTGTTTCTGTTGGATTTGCAACTGTTCCCCATTTTAGTGTTGGCAAAATTATACAGTTTGCCATCCTAATCTTTGTTTTGAATCTCAATGTACTTCCAATCTATTAATGCTTAGCTTCTAATCTATTAATGCTCTAGCTTTCTTGATAATTTGTTTTACATGTTCAGTGAAGGTTAGCTTTTGTCCAACCTTACGTCTAGATATTTGGCTTGATTTGACCATTCAATTTGCGTACCGAATAAGTATAGAATCTCAATGGTCTGCCTCTTCTTTGTTGGTACATGACGGCCTGTCTTTTGTCAGGATTGATATATAGCAGCGTACACACCAATCTTGTAGTTCGTTAAGTGCCCTTTGTAGCTATCTTGTTGCTAAATCTGGGATGGTAGGTATTGCAAAGTTTTGCAACGTTTTCGTCAGTATCGGATTTTTCACCAATATTGGGTTCCGGTAGATTATCCCACCGTTTGATTTTTTTAAGGAGCCGTAAAATTCATGGTCATCATCATCATTCAGCCCATACTCGTCCACTGCTGAACATAGGCCCCCCGTAGTTCACCCCACAAATTTCTGTCCTGAGCCGCCTGCATCCAATTTTGATGTGTCCGTTTCAGGTCATCCGTCCATCTTGTTGGTGGTCGTCCTCTATTCCTAAAGGCATCTTGTCTGGGTCTCCACTCAAGAATGCGTTTTGTCCATCTGCCGTCCTTCGTTCTCGCGACGTGCCCTGCCCAGTTCCATTTTAAGGTTGATATTCTTTTGATTGCGTCGGTTACTCCCGATCTACGGCGCAATTCTGTGTTGGGTATTCGGTCTCTCAGGGTTTATCCCAACATGGACCGTTCCATTGCCCTCTGTGTTGTTCGAATTTTGTTTGCGGACGTCTTAGTAAGTGTTAGCGTCTCCGCACCATAGGTTAGAACCGGCAGCAAAATTCATGGTAACCTCTTGGTATTGTCAAATCCTTGCACATTTTATCTAAGTCCTTCCATTTTGCCTCGCTGATGGGTAAGTCATTTTGATAGGCCTTTTGTAACTCTGCTTGTTTTGGGCGGCCTCGTGTTTTTTTTTGTAGTCCACTTCAATAAAATCATCGTTAAATTTTACTTTATAAAGAACTTTTATGACATTATTTTCCTTATATATTAAAGACAGCAAAGCTTTCTCCAAGGAATTTCACTTAATTTGAAGGAATTATTATTTAAAAACCCTTTAAAATCTAAAAAGGCATCAAACGTCAAAAACTTTACAACAAAGGGAGATGGTGTGATACGTGCATCTCATATAAGTTGCGTCCAACCCTCGGGGGTATAAACGGGTACATATTTTGCTTTCTTCTCTATTTTTGAATGAATGGAATCATATTCCATTTCAGTGTGTCCCGTTTCAAAAAATTTATGATCAATCACTTTCAATTATGGATGTTTCGCAAGACGTTGGATACACATTGTTGCAAATATTGCGTTTTTTTGCTGGCCTCCACAGTCATCAGACATCATACGTACAGCTTCGATTTGAGAATGGCTCAAAACGAAATCGAATACACAAGATGAAATTTCGTTAGACCTTTTTTTTCCCTTGGTTTCGTCCCAAAGGTAGCACATAATTGATTGCCCAAATTGTAAATGGTAAAATTGAACACGGCTAATTTTCTTAAATAAAATATTTGGCCAGCGTAACCTTTGGTCGTTGTTAATACTGTTTCTAAGTCGAAGTTGAAAGCCAAAATTTTAAGATTCGCTTTTGCAATTAACTTGTCCTCACCGCGAGCTTGTCTAGCTTCATTTTTTCTTTTTAGATGTTGTTGATACGCTTCTTCTTCAATATTTTTCTGTTCTTCAGACATATTTTTGTAAGTCAAGCATTTCCTACATTTGTCTTTTTTGGGCTTCAAGAAGCCCATGATACAGTTTTGTCTTTGTTAGTGCTGCACAACTCCTTATACATCATGTACATTATTGATATATAAAGGGATGGGTCAAGGTATTTCTTTGTACTCAATTTAC